ACGTAGCCTCGCGCAAGATCCAGGACATGGATGTTCGATTCAACCGCCAAGCCTTTCCCAACATGAGCTGCATACCCATGCTTGAGTGCCCATCTCGTCAACGTCGGGATCTGAATCGAAAGCCGGGCGTGCCTAGGATTAAAACCATAGATCAAAGGCGGTACCATGATCGAAATTTTTGCTTTTTCGTTAAACAGTTCTGAATGTTTGGCTTTGATGATGGCGAGATCGATTTTTCGATGTGGTGCATTGTCCGGGACACTGTCGACTCCTGGTTGCATATCATCGTGGTAAATCTTTTCAGATTTGAAGGAGCCCCAAGCACTGTCATCTAGGACAGATGTTCCTGAAGTGTGGATGAAAATAGTTTCTTTCCCTTCTCTAGCCCGTACTTGGATGCCGTCGAGTATTGCTTCAACGGAGGGGAGATGGTCTGCAGTTGCGGTGTGGAAGATGATATCTGCTTGTTGAGCGTGCTGTGAGATGAGGTCCTGGTCATTTAGATCACCCATCACGGGCATGGCGCCCGAGGCTTTAATGCCATCTGCATGTTGTTTTCTGCGGACCAGGCCTGTGACGTGGTATCCTTCGGGGACGAGTAAGTCGATTATGTTCCAGCCAATGAAGCCTGGACCCACGATGAAGACTTTCTTGCCGGTAGTCATTGTTTCAAAATATTTCCTGACAAATCGATATACGTTTATTTTGTTTGACTCGATTAACGAAATTATTATTTATCATCATGCTTTTAAAAAAAATTGGAAGAGACATCGAATGTGTATTTGTGAGTTCTGACGTCAAACACTTGAAGCCAAAAGTTTGAATGTGGGGTACGGCTTTTCATAGGTCAAGCTAACCTAGAACAAGCAGAAGTCGTTGTGAGAGGACAAGAATACAGGCATCAACAGATTCCGTCCTGATCGAGCGAAATCGTTGAGTATCGACTCCGAGTTACTGGTCTCGCTTACCGAAAAAGGGGCATCTATAAAATGAGCTGAAAAGAAATAATTAAGTAAGCTTGAAAGTACTAATAATCGGTGTTCATTGGAGCCATTCCGCTGGTGAAGTCACCGCCATGCGCCCTGTGAAAAGCTGCTTTGTAGATAAACAGCTTCAGGTGCTTGGTAACTGAGTGATTTGTCAAAGGCGTGTGGATGTGGTGTGTTGTGCCTTACAAATCTTATCTCCGATCCCACAAGAATCCGAACTTACCCCGCACACGTCATCTCCGATGGCACCATTTAGAGAAAATAGATCCCGGCGCCACTTCTATATAATCATGTCGCTAGCAGGCAGGTAGGTCTGTATCTTCTTTCCGTCCTCAAGTAGCATGCAACGTATTGCTCGACAGCTTACAACCAATATTCCAAAGTCAATCACGAAGTTACGCCACTCACAGCGATTTGTACACTTACAGCCATCACCCACAATGACTACAGCAACGTTCAAATACATTGACCCCACGTCCTACGAAGGCAAAGGCAAGCCATGGGGCAAGGTTGATGGTCCCGGGAAATCATATACACTCAAAGACTACCAAAAGACCGTGACTTCACTCCGTGGCCACGAGTCCGAATTTTCAACCGAGAACAGCGGTTTTGCTGTCTACAACTCTCCCGCAACAGAGAAGGCTTTCACGGATGAAGCCGCAATTCGGAGTCGCTATTATCCCGAAGTAGAAGCCATGCTCAAGGAGCGCCTTCCCGGGAAAGTGAAAAAAGTAGTCATCTTCGACCATACCATTCGTCGCCGAGACAAAAACTCCCCAAGACAGCCGGTACAACAAGTGCATGTGGATCAGACACCTGGTGCAGCGGCAGCAAGAGTGCGGCGACATCTGCCTGCCGAAGAAGCGGAGGAATTGTTGAAAGGACGATACTCAATTATAAACGTATGGCGTCCAATCGAGAACCCAGCCACTGATTTCCCCCTCGCGGTCATCGACTGGCGATCCACCGTCCCTTCGGACTTTATTGCTGTCGACTTATTGTATCCACGACGAACGGACAATGACGACGATGACCGCGGAAAGGAGGCTTTGCCTGATGAAAAGACTCTTTGGAGCACAGAGGGATATGAAGCGAAGGGGGAGACATTCGCCGTTGCGCCTAGTGAAGGACACAAGTTCTTTTATGTGAAGGATATGACTCCAGAAGAGGTGATGTTGTTGAAGTGTTTTGATAGTGCAGGGGAAGGGGAGAGTCTTGGGAAGAAGGGATTGGCGGTTAGGACGCCGCACACGGCGTTTGTGGACCCTAAGACTCCAGAGAGTGCGCCAGGAAGACAGAGCATCGAGGTTAGATGTCTTGTTTTTTATGAATAAGTGTGTCTTTTTGCAATTGGGATGGGTGTGATTTAGCGTGCATAAAATGGGGTTCGATAGCAATGGAGTTCATGTCTAGAGCTCCAGTTAAGTGGTAATTTTCCGTAAATACTACAAGTTCCACCTTGAATCTCCGAGCTCATTATACTTTTGAAATATTCCAACAACAATCTAGACAAAGGTATTTTGGAAGCTGTGTTTCGGCAGATTCGGACGAGAAGGAGGAGTTGATGAAACAATCAGGCCTAGCCCGCTTGGACCCCCTCCCCTGGGACCCTTGCCCAGCAATCGATAAGGCTCTATCCACAGGCTGTGTGACGACATTTACGCTGGACAAATCAATGCTCATCAATTGCAAACCACCCCACTACAACCTGCGTATCATCATCGACCTCGTCAGCTCACGCCCTCCTGTTTCCCAGTGATCTCCACGTATGATTTGTGTTCCTCCGCAGTAACACTTCTCGTTTCGACGTCCGTTACGAGACACCTCCGCCCCAATCCGTTTATGCTCTCCCCACGACTCTTCATCAACACCGGACGACACCTCTTCCGTCAAGCCTCGCCCCGCAATCACCAATTTATACAAGCTTTTGCAACTACGACACGAATCATGGCACAAGAATACAAGCTCAAAGGCCTCAGCAGCCTCGACCTGAAGCCGGGTGAGAAGAGAGAGGTGGAAGTTGATGGCATTGAGGCGGGGAAAGTGCTTCTGTGTAATGTTGGAGGAAAGGTCACTGCTTTGGGCAGCAAGTGCACCCATTATGGAGCTCCTTTAGTGAAGGGTATTTTGACAGGCAAGTCTCCCCAATGGATACCGAGGGCTTCATCACTAACGCTAATTCAGCTGATGGAAGAATCACCTGTAAGTTTCCAAAGCTTCCAACTGTTCTTGGGTTGAGATCAAATGCTAACCACTCCCCACTTAGGCCCCTGGCACGGTGCCTGCTTCAACGCAAAGAACGGAGATATTGAAAATGGCCCCGCTATCGACTCCATCCCCTCATTTCAATTATCCGAAAAGAACGGCGCAGTTTATATCACAGGCGAGCAACAAAGTATCAAGGGCAGCCGAAGAAAGCCAAACATTAAGATCTCTGGTATCAGTGGACCAGAGAAGGTAGTCATTGTCGGAGGCGGCAGCGGGGCATTGGGCACACTCGAAGCTCTCCGAGAGAATGGATACAAAGGCTCAATCACCCTGATTAGCAGTGAGGGATACAACCCAATTGACCGAACCAAGCTCTCGAAAGCTCTTATTGATGATGCATCAAAGATCGCTCTTAGGGATGATGCTTGGTTTAAGGAAGGGAACGTTGACTTTGTATCTGACGAGGTGACGGGCATCGATTTCTCTAGCAAGAAGGTTTCAACAAAAGCCGGAAGCTCTTTCCCATACACAAAATTAGTTTTGGCAACAGGTGGGACACCAAAGTCCCTTCCGCTCCCAGGATTCAAAGACCTCAGCAATATCTTCCTTCTCCGGACTGTCCCTCACGTGAAGGATATCTTGGGGGCTATTGGAGACAAGCACAAAAAGATTGTGATTATCGGAAGTTCCTTCATTGGAATGGAGGTTGCAAATGCCGTAGCCAAAGATAACGATGTTACCGTCGTTGGTATGGAAAAGGCTCCATTGGAACGTGTGATGGGCGAAGAAGTTGGCAAGATTTTCCAAAAATCACTCGAGAAGAATGGGGTTAAATTCAAGCTCAACGCTGGAGTGGAAAAGGCTGTTGCCTCCAAGTCCGATTCTTCTAAAGTTGGAGCTATCGAACTTAAGGGTGGCGAGAGCCTCCCTGCTGATCTAGTTATCCTTGGAACGGGTGTGGGACCAGCGACTTTATTCCTAAAGGACAACAAAGGAGTTGAGCTCCAGAAAGATGGATCTCTCAAGACTGATGAGCACTTTGCGGTCTCTGGTCTGAAGGACGTCTACGCAATCGGAGACATTGCAACATACCCCTACCACGGACCAGGCGGCAATGGAGCTCTCACTCGCATCGAGCACTGGAACGTTGCCCAAAACGCCGGCCGCTCAGTGGCAGCAAACATTATTGATCCCTCGGCCGCCCCAAAACCTTTTATCCCCATTTTCTGGTCCGCACTCGGCTCACAGCTCCGCTACTGTGGCAATACACCCAATGGCTGGGACGATCTGGTCCTAAAGGGCCAGCCTGAAGAGGCGAAGTTCGTGGCTTATTATACCAAGGGCCAAACTGTTGTGGCGGTTGCAACGATGCAGGTTGATCCGGTGATGGTGCAGGCAAGTGAGTTAATGCGGAGTGGGAAGATGCCCAGTAAGAGTGAGATTGAGAAGGGGGTGGATATTTTGACGATTAGTTGAGGATTACGATCTCCTTCGTAGAGCGGGTGTGGACTTTACTGGCGTATCTTGGCAACGAGCAAAAAGACGACTTGATGAATGTATTCCTGCCATCTCTTTCGTGATCCTCAATGAATCTAGAGTCCTCCAAACCTCATTATACACGTTTTATATGAAATCTCTGAAGTTCTCTTTGCTGAAATTCATCACTGCCTTATCCTACCTAGTAGTTAAGAGGAAGAATGTAACCCCTATCTTAAGCGAGAACCGTCCTTCCTCTACGGCAGCAAAAACTCAACATCCTCTTTATTAATCAATATAAGGAATTGCCTCCATATCGTTTCAAACGGGGACGTAGTTCAACGGTAGAGCGCATAGGAAATGTCAAGCATCGTCACCACCGGATTACCGGTAAGTAGTTGCCCCGGCGTAGGTAGTGTTTAGTTTACGAACTACTGTGAAGCGCGGGTTCGACTCCTGCCGTCTCCAATTACTTTTTTGCGCGTTTGTTCTTTGCTCTTGGGGTAGAATATTAGAAGGGGGGTTGTGAAGAGAAAATAAACGAAGTAAGGGCATATTTTCTTTGACGGAAAGGATGTGGGCCCGATGAGCGAACGGCCATCTGCGTATATTTTTCCCCACACCCACACTTCACGATTTCTGCAAGTTAGTAATTGATCTAGCTCAAACAATTATGTGGTTTTGTTGCGCATCGAATTCTGGGCCTTCCACGAGTGAAAATGCTGTCGAAGATTGTCCGAATTGACGAAGACGAACCGAACCGAATCGGTCAAGCCTCCACCTCATTACCCTTTTATCTTCTGTATCATACCTAACTGACTCTTGCTTCCTCAGTTGCTATGAAGGGCATTTTAAAGGCCATTTTGAGACTGAAATAGGTGATGACAAGTTATTGGGACTTTGATTGCTCAGTTTTCAAGTCTTTGAGCTTCGTGCGTTGATTCCCTATTCGTCTTGAAATACACTTCGCTCCTGTTTAGTGCGTGGCACTATCGATTTGGGAGGTAATACAAGGATACACAATAACAGAGATTGAAAGTGCCTGAAATACCATTGCGCTTCCATTATATTATTACTCGGTGTTGAGAGACTTGGTTGAGAAGTGAGTCCGATGAGACAAAGAGAAGGCAAATAAAGAGATACGGAGTTATCTCTTCAAAATTCCGGCGTTCCAACATTCAAGGCCTAATGAAAGCAGATTTATGATAGTGGGAAGGGGTGGACGCTTAAGAAGGGGCGGAATTGGGCGGAGGCTTTTTGGGAAAGAGGTCGAGTCGAAGCGAACACCGAATCGTCAATTCGTCGATTTGTTAACTACAGCCTTGACTTTCCCACCCCTTATGCTTCTTTTACTAGAATATGGCAGAAGAGAAAACTATGTAATCACTGTGATGGCTGCTGCGCGTGGAGGAGGTGGTAGGAAGGGTTTTTGGATTCATGAATGTCTGCCGTTAATTCGTCTCTCCGTCTTCGTTCGATTCGGTCTTCGATTCGGTCCTCATTATATTCGCCGGTGAAGCTCGACTCAGATGTGCAACAAAAACACGTGATATGTGGCAAGAGGTCTACCTAGGTACGTATAGTGAATATAGAACCGGTATGCAGGGCCAGGGAAGTTAATTGGCAAGCAAGAGTGTGGATATCTACACGAAAGGGGCTCAAGCGACCACGTGACCACATTCTCCTTGTTACTTTTGCCGGAGAGCCTGTTCGGTATTTCAGGGGACCCGGACGCAGGGGTTCATATTGCGGGGGAAAACCCACCGTGATGGTGTATGAGGTGCAGACCACCTCTTGATATATAAGGCCCCGAAACCTCTTTTATTGTGTTCCTTCTTCGGAAAACCTGGCGATTCTCACGGATTTAAGACCGCCTATCCCAACTTTGATTCGTTCACTTTCAATCATGAATTCACATTCGATTTGAAATGCTCCATTGCTACTGTACCCTTGAATTTGCTTTCGCTGTACAATGTTTCAAACCTTTCCCTCTCTCTTAGCATTTGTCCTAGTAGTAGCTACTCTCGCCCAATCATACCCGGATCCGGGACCCTGCACCGGTGCGTGCTGGGCCCATGACCCAACTGTTATTCAACGGGCCAGCAACGGGAAGTACTTCAAATTCAATACCGGCACCGGAATCGAGATCGCAACCTCCAACTCTCTTGCCGGGCCATGGACACTGCAGGGATATGTGTTGCCGAATGGGAGCTCAATCGACAACCCGGGAAGGAAAGATCCTTGGGCTCCTGATGTGCATCTTGTCGGTGAGGAGTACTTTCTGTATTATGCAGTGAGTACATTTGGGAGCCAGGTCAGTGCTATTGGACTTGCGACCAGTTTAACCATGGAGCCCGGGACTTGGATAGACAAAGGTCCCGTGGGCGTCACTTCGAAGAAGGGACAGGCTTACAATGCTAGTAAGTACCATAAGTCCCTGACATTCAAAGATCCCAGGAGCTGAACTTTTGTTTAGTTGATCCCAACCTGATTGCCGTGGGCAGCGACTATTACCTCAACTTCGGTTCTTTCTGGGGCGACATCTACCAAGTCAAACTCAACTCAGCGGCAATAAAAGCGAGCAGCAGCGCACCGTACAATATTGAATACGATTCTGCTGGTACCCGGCCTTGCGAAGGCAGCTATATGTTCTTCTATGACGATTATTACTACCTTCTCTGGTCCCATGGCATCTGCTGTAGCTATGATAAGTAAGCAACCAATCTGCAAATAAGCTCTGGATTGACACTAAGAATGGCAGAACTCTCCCGGCGGCAGGCGACGAATACAGGATCATGATGTGCCGTTCGCCAACCGCGACTGGGGGATTCGTAGATAAGAATGGTACATTATGCACCTCGAGCGGAGGGAGTAGATTACTCGAAAGTCATGGCACAACTTATGGACCTGGCGGACAAGGTGTCTTCACAGATTCCAGCAATAGTCTGGTTCTCTACTACCATTACGCAAACAAAAGCGTGGGACTAGGAGACGGGAATTATTTGTTTGGATGGAATGTTCTGAAATGGTCCACTGATGGGTGGCCAGAGTTGTGAACTAATCGTAAACGACACTTGTTTCGGGAGAAACAAAATCAAGAATTGCTTTTTAGTTTGGAAAGGTTGGCATCCTTGATCACCAGTCTTTTCTTGTCGATCTGAAGGGGGGCCTAAATGGAGGCCTGAAAGCACGCCATGGCTGAACTTTCAGCAATACACCAGAAGTGACTATCAAAGTGATTCACGACAACACATCGCGTGAATAGGCTTCGCGTTAAGTTCGCGATGCGTTATAGGCTGTTAAGACACAAGGGTCCGCTCGCTGCCTGTTAATTAGCTGTTCAGAAAAAGATGGCTGGGAATACCTGCACAGTGACGAAGCTAGCCGCAGTTTGGGCCTATCAAAATCGCTGGTGCACCTTTCTGTTCCTGACTGACCAAACGAAAAGCGGCCCCACTTTACTCAGCTGTGCCTTGCCCTTCCCTGTTCGCCTTGTGATCAGTTCCCAACCACCACCACCAGTTCACGTCACAACTCACCTCAGACAGCGACACAAGATTACAAACATATACTCTGTCCTTTGCTTTTGCGTCGCAACTATGCTCCTCGCACGACGCGCCACAGGAGTCGCAGAAACAGAATCATCGAGAAGAGCCAGTGTTTGACACGGCCAGCCATGGCCGCCGAGGTCGAGGACCTCGAGTCTTTGATAGGCCGCATTCCCGCCTGCTGCTCCACGACGACGCCAGAGCTTCGATGCTGCTGTGGTCGCACAGATTGCGCTTACCTGAAGCACAACTGTGTGGCTCTAGACGACCTTGAAAAAGAAGTGCGGACGGCTGCTCAACTTGGTCAAGTATGCATTCCTCATCCCCTCCACTTTTCCGGTTGCGGAGATTACACACCTCGAACAGACTTTTCCCAGTCTTGGTCGTGTTCTGACTTCCAGATTTTGCTTGCAAAGTTCTGGAGTTATGGAGGATATCGAAGGTTTTAGAGAGAGCAAAGGACTGACGTTTGCTTTGCAGGCGTTACTTGTCAGACATGAGCAGTACATGCACGATGCCGAAAAGGATCGTATGGAGATGGGCGCCAAGATCGAGAAACTCGAGTCGGATAAGAAGGCCTTGGAAGAATCGAACGCGAAGAATATCGAAGAGAATCGCGGACTGTTGAACCACTTAGAGGTGCTTAATACCACAGTTATCGAGTCGGAAACGCATATCAAGTCGCTGGAGGCAACGCTCCTGTCGACGCGCCAAGAACTGAGGAAACTCGAGGGACTCGCGTCGCGAACTCATGACTTGGAAATGCAACTGGCAGCTTTGGAGCAAGAGCAAGAGTTGTTGCAGAGAACCGTCATCACGACTCAAGAAGAGGAACGCTCGGCAATACAAAGATGGAAGAAGGCTGAACGAAGGCTGAGTGAGCTCCACGATCAACTGGAGAGGATAGAGCGTGAGGCAAGGGACGAAAGAGAACGTCATGTTGAGGTTCTTGGACGGATGGAGAGGCAACGCGCTGTCGAAAGAGAACTGGATACTGCTGCTGGACGATTGAAGGGTGCAGCTGCGGCAACGACTGGTAACGGCAAGAATGGCAGCAATGTCGTGTCACATTTTGTTAAAGATATTCTCCAGGATAACGCGAATTTGCAAATGGGAATCGTTGAGTTGCGGGAGATGCTTATGAACTCGAATGAGGAGGTGCAGATGCTAAGGGAACAGCTCTTACTACATCAACCAGTCGTGGAGGATAATGGTGATGGCAGTGGCCCTCCGACTTTGAGGACAGAGTTAGCTTCCAAAGAGCCCGTGCCGCAGGTCATACCACAGGCTCTTCATATACACCACCATTACCATGCCCCCAAGAAAGAGGAAGTTCGTCGACCAAAGAAGAAGCGGAATCCTCTCAACACAGCTCTGTTTACTCCGCCCAAGAGTATACAGTCTCCGAGAACAACCAGGGGTCAAGACACAGCGAATGCGATTTTGTCGCAGACAGCAGTCACCATTCCAGCACCGATCACACCCACCAATCGATGGTCGATGCAGTCTGCTCAGATGTCTGACTTTGCGCCGTCATCGGTACCGAGTTCGCCACAATCAATGTACAGACACAGTGGGCTGTTCGATAGAGGATTCGATATTGATTCCTCTAGGCCTACGTCTCCGAGCTCCAGCGTTGATCCCATGTCACCACAATTCCCACCTCGTCATCGGAAACGTGATTCGGAGGTATCAGCACGCAGCTTTATACCTCCAAGCAATTTTCAACGTCAAATCATACATGAAGAGGAAGATGTCGATGTCGAAGAACTTCCCGATTTGCAGATCACCGACACCACAACTCCATCCGATGTGTCCCACGACACGGAGTTTCCTCACGAGGAAGAACCTCATTGGACAACGTCCTTCCAGCCCACACTTCGGCGGACCACATCCCACGAGTCCATCCTCTCAATATCG